CGATGCAATATTCACAATATTTTTTATAGATAAAATCCGTAGATATTTTTGGATACATTAATGGGGCCATTCTTGATAAGGACAGAATCAACTGTTGATCAATTTGCTCAATCGAAAATCCATATAAAAATTGAAACCTTATTTCTGTGAACACATTTTAATGTCAAGTTGCCTTTTGGAGATTACAAGGTTGGAGTCTTCAACATCATCATATGCCGAGTCCCCTAGTCTAGCATCATCGAGCTAAGTGCATTAACCGAGGTGAAAGAGAGTCGTGGTGGGACAAAACGACCAAATCAAACTAAGTAGTCGTAGTGAGACCAAAAAAAAAAACTTGTACTTGTATGAATGAAGAAATGACACACAACACATTCTTGCTCGATTCTGTGACATATTTCCGATATCAAATTGGCATAAAGTTAATATAATGTTTAAGATAACACACGACGCATTATGTACAAGTCACATATGTTTACATTTAAACACACACCATACACGAGACTTTCAATCAATAGATGACAGTAAAATTTAAAGTTGAGATTGCAATTGTTTGATGGTCTGTTAATTGTGCTCTTTTGAGAATAAAAATAAAAAAAGTAAATTGTCAATATTATACTAGTGCATGTTTTGATGTATTTTTATACAGTTTGTATACTTGAAGTAACGATTTTTTTTTTTCATTCCCATTGCGGGGTACAAGTTCTAAAGATATTACAAAAAAAAAAGTCGAATTATCTTATATAACCAAAATATAAAGAGAAGAGAAATGTATATATTAATATTTTATTTTTACAGCCCTGTTCTCCTGCCCACGGTGGGCAGGAGAACAAATGCCCACCGCTGACCCACGTCAGCGGTTCAATAATTTTTTTCCCCCAGCTTTTCGTCCTTTTTCACCCACCCAAACACCCACCCCGCCCCAATTATCACCCCACCCACCCCCTTTTATGCAATGATTCAATGAGTACGTTTTTTCTAACTTTTCGTCCCCACCCCACCCCACCTCACCCTACCCTACCCTACCCTTCCCCTTTATATATAAATGATTTTCTTTATTTTTGTCTCAATTTTCGAGACGTTAAACGAAATCGAAATATTGTATTTTTAATATTATATCGAAGTGCTCAAGACCTAATTTCACCCATCTCTAACGGCGTGCG